GTTCAAACTCCTCCAGTTTAATCCAGTTTACAGGTTCAAACTCCTCCTGTAAACCAGCCGTTTAATCCAGTTTTCCCTGCAAAGCATGCTGGGACTTCAGTACAAAAACAAACACTTTACTCCTCCCAGAGGGGATTCAAATCTTGTTTGAACTATTTATGTCTATTTATTTAATGATGATTTAAACTCCTGAGTCCCAGCATCCTCATGTGATGCTGCTTTACCATGATTTATTATTATTATTATTAATAAAACAATGTTTTTTAACCTCGTGGCCTCATAGCAGACGCTATCTGACACTAATATTTTTAATCTAAATAAATATGGTTTTATACATTTTACACCAATCATGTTCTTATAGTGAAATTAAAATGTTGTAATTAAGTCATTTGGACCTTGAGAACAAATTTCTGGGTCAACTTTTGAACAAATAAATGCACATTTTAAATACAAATAAATAAACTATTGAGAAAAACTACATAACCAGGTCAAAGTCTAGTTATCAGACTTATCAGCTCCTCCTGATCACAGATCTGCTTTTTTCAGAGCAGAAACCAGGCAGAAGCTTCTGGATCTCCGGAGGTAGACCCTGAGGGACACCTGAGCTGATAGCAGGCTGATATGAGGCTGTTTTAACAGGTCTGGCTGTGAAAAGTTATTCTTTCCCGTCAATCAGGTGTCAGATCAGGAGTGTTCCAGGCATCAGGGAAGTTTTCATCCTGATAATGTTTCTATTTTTAGATCCGAAATTAGAGCAGAACGTGCACCGAGCCGTGCACACAGCTCACACTGTTGGATCGTTTGCTTCCTGAGACCTGTTGCATCTCAGGACAAAACTTTGTTCAAGGAGACCTTAAATATAGAATATGTGTTCCTTCTGTTTGTAGTTTATTGTCAACATGCAGAAAAAATATTTTAAGAAAAACCCGCTAAATAGAAAAAAAAATTGTACATTTTGTTAAAACTAAGACAAAGTTTTAACTACTCCTACTAGCATTAGTTAAAACTAACAGACACATACTTTGACATCTTTTTTACAATTTTAAAAAGGTTTTTTGATCCATTTTTTCTTGGTTGAGGCTTCAAAATGAGTTTTTACTGTTAAACAGCACACACGTGCACAGAGCCGTGCACGTGGGCGGAGAGGCTGAGCCAGCAGAGGACAGAAAACACAATGAGCTCATGGGGCAACTGAGCCGCACCGCCCGCAGCCGATAGGACCCTGATCCTGATCCTGATCCTGATCCGGATCCTGATCCTGATCCTGATCCTGATCCTGATCCTGATCCTGATCCTGATCCAGATCCTGATCCTGATCCTGATCCTGATCCTGATCCTGATCCGCTGCTGCCGGCGGCACATTCCTGGACCTGGATTCTTGTGGTGGGAAGTTACTTAATCCTCAGTTTCAGAACACATTTTTACCCGCTTACACAGTTCAGATGTGACTAGATCATCAAAGGTTTCCTCATTCCCCAACAAACGGCTGTTAAACCTAATTTAGACCTGATTTACCAGGTCCAGAAGCCAGGTCAAGAAACCACGTCTAGAGAGCAGGTCCAGAAATTAGTTCCAGACACCAGGTCTAGACATCAGGTCCAGACACTATTACTACAAACCAGGTCCAGAAACCAGGTCTAGACACCAGGTCAAGACACCAGGTCCAAACACCAGGTCTAGAAGCCAGATCCAGAAGCCAGGTCAAGACACCAGGTCCAAACACCAGGTCCAGAAACTAGTTCCAGACACCAGGTCCAGAAACTAGTTCCATACACCAGCTCTAGACACCAGGTCCAGACACCAGGTCCAGAAACTAGTTCCATACATCAGCTCTAGACACCAGGTCCAGACACCAGGTCTAGACACCAGGTCCAGAAACTAGTTCCAGACACCACGTCTAGACACCAGGTCCAGACACCAGGTCCAGACACCAGGTCCAGACACCA